AGTATCACAGATTGGGTATCTTATAAAAAACAGAAATTTATTTCTTATAGTTTTAGAGGCTGGGAAATTCAAGATCAAGGAGCTGGAAGATTCCGTGTCTGGTGAGAGCTTGCTTCCTGGTTTATGGCCATTATGTCATGGTGCCCTTACCTGAAGAAAAGGGAGAGCTGTATGGGGTCTCTATTCCAAAGGCACTAAGCCTATTCATAAGGGCTCTGCCCTAATGATCTAATCACCTCTCAAAGGTCCCATCTCCAAATACCATCACATTGGTGGTGCGGATTTGCATAAGAAACTTGGGGTGAGGGTGGAGGGACACAAATATTCAGTCTAGCGCCAGGCACGCATTGTGAGTCATCCTAGGAGTAAGATGGGTCAAGGTGCAAACTACTATCTTACTTTGACAAGTTAGTCTTGACATGTCCCGAACTACTAATCCCCCGAACACTGTACTGACATCGCAGGATCCTGTATCTTTGTAATATGTATTTCCCACCATCTGGAGCACATCTGTCTTATTAAGCCATTTGGAGAACTTGCCACTTATATCTGATAAATATGGTATTATTAGTATAGCGACTCCATTTTACTTTGTACAGAATGTCCACAGTGTTGAAATATACAGGTGAGGAAAATGTAGGTTTACAGCTGTGAGTATGAGAAACAGAAAGTTTACTCTTATGTTATTTTTTGTTGATTATTGTATTGTTTTTCCACATGAACAGTGGTAAACATTCTTTTGCCCCGCCCTGTATTGTGGCAGAGAATAGGAACATTATGGTAACCCTTGGGTAATGTTAAAGTGTACTCCTGTCCCTCCCAAATGGAAGCAAACTGCTCCCAATATTCTTCCCTTTTTAGGAACCAGGAGAAATAAAAACTAATTGGTCACGCACCACATAACCACTTGCTGCTGTGGTATTGTAGCATCTCTACTTCTAAGAGCCATTACCATACCGTAAGAATGGGCTCCTTGGGATCCTTGTCAGGGAGTCAAATCTGGGGTCATAGGAGAGTGTCCTACGTCCAAGATTTCTCTTTTCCCTGGAACCAGCACGCTAAGGATTTGCTTTCCAATATCCCTTCCTAGTTCCTAAGAGTATATTTTCCAGCATGCAGTTCTTCTCCTCACTTAGCACTTTCCCACTTGGGCCAACCTGAGACTTAATCCTGGTTATTTCCCTCGTGACCAGAAAGGGAGGGAAGGCATTTCCCGAGGAGACCCCAAGCACTGTCTTGGTCTTGCCACCTGCCTCAGTCTGTGCTCTTTCAGATCTTTAGCAGGAGTTCCCCACTGCTCTCTATAAAGGAGTGGGCCAAGGGTTTAGGGGGTTCTGGGTAGTGAAGCTTCTCAAGTGTACCTCCTAAGATATCACTGTGCCAAGTTCCACCAGTGGGAGAAAAAAGATGGTAACATCTTGTGTTAGCTTCAGTTTTGACTAAAGGGAATTCTCTGGAGCCATGGGTCTCAAAATTTAAATATTTACCAGACTCATCTGAAGGGCTTGTTAAAACACAGAGGGCTGGGTCTCAACCCCAGAGTTTCTGATTTGCCAGGTCTGGGGTGGGGTCCAAGTTTTTGCATGTGAAGTTCCCAGGTGATGCTGGTACAGCTGGTCCGGGGACCATACTTGGAGAAGCACAGCTCTAGAGAAAGGGACAGGGGGCAGCTCTGAGCTGTTAGCCGCCCACACACAATTGACAGATAGATAAAGAGCCTGGTAAAGGGAATCTGAGGGGGCACCAGGTCACCCGGTACAGCCAGTGCTACTTGAATCTAAATAGTGTTGAAATAACTGATCAAATGAGATTTATTTCAGAACAGCATCTCTACAAGAATCTCTACATATCATGTCATTGAAACATTTGTAGCATTAAAAAATAATGTGGATGCTTTTATTCTTTCAAATGATGTAAACAATTAAACCTGTGGGTTTCTGGGCTTTCTCCCAACTTAATTAGTTTATAATGTGTTTTCTCACTTTTCTTTCTCCTTCTCTCTCTCTCTCTCTCTCTCTCTCTCTCTCTCTCTCTCTCTCTCCTCTCTCCTCTCTCTGTGCCCACCTCCCCCGCAGTGCACAAATTTTTGCTTA